TAGCTCCTTTGTCTCTGATGATCTGGGATCCTGTGATCCTGAGATCCTGACAGGGTCAGAGATAGGCCCAGGCAGTCCCCCCGTCCATGAGTGCCCCCTCCGCCTCCCCACCTGTAGCAATCATCTCAGGTCCCATGTTGTTTGTGGCAGGATCCACCTTGTATCCAGCCTCACGGTATTTCTTTCCACATCTCATCTAAGACCCCCAGAGCTACTGAGACTTCTGCCACCCCTGTTCCCTTCTTAGTGCTCAGTGTCCCGTATATCTCCAGGTCTCTCTAGGCCCTTCTTCCCTGAAATCATGGGGTTTCCTCCAATAGGGAATCATCTTGCCTCCTTCCTACTCATCTAACAAGAATAGAAAGAGTGTTGCACGAAGAAAGGTCCCCAAGTAATGGACAACACTCACAAGAGCACAAGCACACTGTGGATGTTCTCACCATCACCGAGACAACCCTTTCCCTGGGGCTCTGCAGAAAAATGCGTTTTGAGTTGGGCTATAGACCCAGAGGACTTTAGCACAGTGCATGTCCTTGGAGAAGCGGCCAGAGCACTTGAGAGGGTCCTGGCACCATATACCTTAGCATGGGGGGGTAATACTAAGTCTGCTGGGTTGGTCTGGTGCCAGGCAGCTGGCAAATGGCAAGTTCAGAGCATCACACCCCTTGTATGAGCTATAGAGGTCACGTAGAACAGTGAGAGGCCATCGCATCTTCTGGAAGCCAAGCCCCTGCTCAAAAGACACTGCTCACGGGGCCATGCCCAGATACTGCCCTCCTGTGGGAGGGTGGATTGCCCACATGGGGAGGCCCGGTTTACCCTGCTGGGCCTCTGGCAGGGCCCCACTGCTTCTTGGATCTGATTTTCCTTTGGAGAGGCAGTCAAAGAACTCGGGGCTCTCCTTCCCAGTAGGACTGCTGATTCTGTTGGTTACCTGGCTACCAGGTTGGCCCCGTCTGGCCGGGGAGACCCTCCACCCCCAGAGGCTGGGGGCTTTCTCTGAGCACCCACAGTCCTGGGCCCTGTTTCTCATGGACTAGCTCACCACATTGTGCATGGCAGTCAGTATACTCTCCAGCCTGAGTGCTCCTAGGACAAGGGGATTGAGTCATCTTGATCCCCGCCGCCCATTTTAGGGCTTGGCACAAAATAGATACTAAATTATTTCTCCCATCTATGCTCTATTTTGAGTCCTCCCAGCAGTGACCCATAAAGGCCCTAGCAGGGATCTCCTTCCAACAGAAACAAAGAGGTCCTGGAGTAGGCAATCCTCAGCTACAGATGAGGGAATGTGGATGTTGGCCTCAGGGTAGGATCCAGCCCAGGGAGTGGGATGTAAAGAGCTCTATGGGGTCCCACCTATCCCTCTGCTTCTGGTCCCAACCCACTCTCTGCATGGATCCTGGGCTCTAGCCCACCCAGACTGCCTGAGAACTGCTGGACTTCGAGGAATCCCACCTCAGTGCCAAGCCTCTCACTATTTCCACCTCTTGGATGCTCTCTTCATCCCCTTCTCCCTGGAAACCCTCCTGGCTCCAAAGTCCACTGACTGCATGATGCAGGGGTGAACTTTCCTCTCTGAGTTCTCCAGCACTCCCCAATTTTTCTGCTCACCAGCTCACCTGGCCTCAGTATCTATTGGTGCTGTTTGTCTTATCTGTCTCAGGGGGCTGCTCTGAGAGAAAGCAAACACCAGCCTCTGCGAGCCTCAGTTTCCCCATCTGTAAAATGGGGACAGTGATCCCCACCCTCCTGGGCTGATGTAAGGATTAAATGACATTAATCAGGTCAGAGCCCAGCACAGTCATCTCACCTGTCCACGCACGTGCCAGGAGGTGAAGCAGAGTCAACTCGCACCGAAGATGCAGAGGCCTCAGGGCTGGGGTTCTCAGCCTCAATTAAGACTCAATTAAGTGGCTGAACAACTCACCCCACCTCCAAGACAGGGGTTACGGGAGGCCAAGAGGAGAAGGCAGGCACATTATAACATCTCCAGGTATGGGCGGAGCGAAGACTGCTAACCTCCACTGGGCACTAGTTACGTGCTCGGCCCTGTGCTAAGTGCATCGATCTCATCCACACACGGCCAGTTCACAGGATCCTCACAGTTCACAGGAGGGGTTATGGCTGGCCCTCAGTTCTTTCCACCGCCCCCACACCGTACTGGGGATGCCATGATGACCTAAAGAGAGATGAGTGTTTATTTATTTATTTATTTTTTTAAAGATTTTATTTATTTATTTGACAGAGAAAGACACAGCGAGAGAGGGAACACAAACGGGGAGTGGGAGAGGGAGAAGCAGACTCCCTGCCGAGCAGGGAGCCCGATGTGGGACTCGATCCAAGGACTCCAGGATCATGACCTGAGCCGAAGGCAGTTGCTTAACCAACTGAGCCACCCAGGCGCCCAATGAGTGTTTATTTTTATCTATAACCCCCGATGTGGGGCTTCTCCACACAGTAAAAGTGAATCTACAGCATGAGAAACTGATTTTTTAAAAATAAACTTTATTTGGAGTCATTTTAGATTTATAGAAAATTCACAAAGATAGCACAGAGGGGTCCATATACCCCATCCCCAGCTACCCCCCCTTGTTCATACCTTACCTTCCTATGGTACCTTTAACACAACTCAGAAACTGACATTGGTAATTACTGTTAACTACGCTGCAGACTTTCATTGGATTTCACCAGTTTTTCCAGTAATGTCCTCTTTTGTTCCAGAATCCCATCCAGGGTACCCCCCTTGCATTTAGTCACTTTGTCTCCCCTGCTCTATTCGGTAACAGGAAAACGGACTTTTTAACTGGTGTCCTTTGGGCAACAAAGGAGGGGACTCTTTTTGTGGCTTCTTTCACTTTCTCTTTCACAATTTGACGTCTGAAAAATCCCCCTTGGAGAGGACTTGTCCCCCTGCGTCAGCCTGCTCCTGCTCCCCGTCCCTCGTGGCGTCTGTCCAGCCGGGGTGGGGGCGGGGGGCGAATTCCCTGCACAAGAGCTCGTGCTCCCTTTTTCTTCCTGCAGGGACAGTTAATTCTGCTCAGCTGCTCCTGTGTCCCTGTTGGCCTTGTCTTCAAGCTCGCCACCAACTCTTATTCTGGGAATGATAAAACACCTGGAATTTTAGTTTTAGTTCCACTCTCTTCCTGGGGCAGAAACTCTAGGCTCTCAGAAGAGTGAATGGGGAAAATCCATAATACAATACTTCCCCAAATTCATCCTCCCTTCCCTCTTCCCTGTAATACTCACATCCTTTCGGGGAACCCTGTGGTACAAGGGAAGCCAACTCCCAGGGTGCAAATATGACCTGAGTTTGACTGTAATCAGCACGTGTGGTCCCTCAGCCACAGCGATTGGCTCGGGAGTGGCCTCATCACACAAGATGGCCCGGTCGGAGTGAATCTCAGGACTTCTGCAGGCATTCTGGTTCATGGGTGCTCTCTTTGGCTCAGGTGGAAGGGCCAGTGGCCATGTTGTGACTGCAATCGGTTGTGGAGGAGTTTTAACCTATTAAGGTAGACACTTGAAGCGACGCTAAGTCTTTTTCTCCCTAGTCACTCCCTTGACTCTTTTTTAATATCATAGGTAGAGTTTTTATAACTTTCTATAACTTTTTCTATAAAAAGTTTTTATAATTTTAACTTTAATAACTCATTCAGTTATTAAAACTCAGACCAGTCCAATTTAAAACTTTAATCTGCTATCTAACCTACCCCACCCAGGTCAGAATTGTGACTACGGGGGCTTGGTGAGGGGATGGACCACTCCTAGGGTCCTTACTCCTAGAGGAAGCTTCAGGAGACCTCCTGCCACGCTGACTTCGCTCTGCACTGGAAAGGGTTTCCCGACCTTATTCTGGGTATTTCTGCCCTTGGTGGTCTCTATGATGTGGTGGTCTCCGCAGAAGAGATATGTGTAGTTTCTTCAGTGCTGTTCAGCTCTATGGCCCCTCATTGCCCAGGACTTCTACAGATAGGGGTGACCGGCCTCCTTACTGACTGTCGGTCCCCAGCTCCTCCTTCAAGTCAGGGCCCCATTGCTTGGCCCAGTGGCTGCTGACTAGCTCCCTGGTTCCTGTCCCTCCTCTAACCGTTATGCTCTGTCACATGGAGCCATAGGAAGTATGAGGAACTGGGCATGGTAGACCCATTTTTTCCTCCCAGGCCCACCACATCCTGGTCCTGACAAGCTTGCTCATATAGGCCTTTCATGAACCTCCGACCTTCAGAACTCTCTGGTTCACTATCTATGTTCACAAACACCCCCAGTCTCACAGGAACATGGCCCAGGTTCTCCCTGCTTTTTCACCACACTTTATTCTAGCAGTAGCACCAGGATGAGCCTGTGGGGTTCCAGCTCAGTAAGCGTCCAGTGGCAGAAGCTCCTCTCCCCCTGTGCAGGCACTCCCGGTCTCCTCAAGGGAGCCTCTCAGGTGCTTTCATTCTCCCTCCCCCAGGCCTCATACACACACACTGAGCTTTGATGGGGAAGAGAAACAAGGGATATTTGGAGTCACTGTTGGTTGAAATGTGGAAGCAATAGCATTAAAAGGGGCCTGGAGAGCTGGTGGAATTTTCAGCCTGGATCCTCTCTCTCACTTCCTCTGCCCTCAGAGACAAACCCCATCCCCACACCTTTAACTCTCCTTCCCCCTCAGAGCACAAGAAAGTCCCCTGCTTGCCGCAGCTCCCAGCACCTCATCTCTTGGAAAGGGGGAAAATGATGCATTTAGTAAGCTCCCTCGGGGGTACCTCTGCCACAGGATGGCCTTCTTGGTCACGGTGAGTGTTTCAAACTCATATGAGTCTGCCTTTCAGCGTCCGGGCACTGGCCCCTTCCACTGCATATCCCTGTAAGTAGCACTGGACATTCCTGCCCAGAGCTGGAGGCGTTGATCTGTGGCTTGGAATGTGATTCTTACTGCCAGAGCCTAAAGCCTCTTAATTTTTGCCACTTCTCTCCTGGTCTCCCACCACCATATAACATTTCAGAGGGCAGCTCTACCCACAGTCAGCATCCTCCTCTCTTGTTCCCAGGGCTGTACTCTCTGCAATCATCTCTCCTTTCTGGGAGCATGTGGCCTTGACCAGAGGTTTCAGCTTGTCTGGGAGCCAGCTCCACAGCAGCAGCTCCAGCTCCAGGAAATCCTGTCTCTGAAGCTAAGGCTGAAAGGGGAGGGAGTGGGGGCCCAAATCAGCCAAGGGTATCTGCCCCAGTCCACCTCGCCCCTTCCTGGACACACTAGTTTCCTAATAAATCATGCATCCTTCATGGCTGGATTAAACATCAATTTTCAGCCTGGGGTCACACAAGGAAGTTGGGTGTTGTTTTGTTTTTTGGTTTTTGTTTTTTTACGTCAGTCTCCTGAGCTCACTTCATAGGGTGTATATCTCGATTTTATACTGACTGCTGTTTTGCCATTGCCATTTCTGGTATCAGTACCTCCATTTCCTTTAGGAGACTTTCCTGCCTGCACTCTCAGTTCAAGGAGTTCCTGTGTGGCTGACCCTAACCTCCCAACTCCAGGGCTGGGGAAATAATCCAATCAGTCTTCCATGAGAGTCAGCTCTGGTCATTTCCTCGGAATGAATGGGAAAGTAAGCTTTTTCCAATAGGGCTGAAGATGCCAGGATAGAGCTCTTCGGGGGTCATCTTTCCACTACATGGGGAGCATATCCTGAGAGAGAAGCCAACACAGAGAAAGGCAAAGTGGTGAGATGGAGACAAATTCTTGATGACTTGACTTGTATGTCTGGATCTAGCTATTCCTGAAGCTGGACTATTCTTGGATTTCACATTCCAGTGAGCCAATAATTCCACCCTCCCTTTTATGTTTTTGGGTTTTGTTTGTTTGACTTGCTTAACACGTTAGAGATGAATTTCCATGATTTACAAACAGGATCCCGGTTAATATACCTTTTGAAAAATCCATTCTTGGTCATGCCAGAATGCTGACTTCACAACCGCAGATTTCCTGTGGTGTTGAGATAATATTCCAAGGCCATTTCTGCTCGGGCTGGATCAGCCTACACTGGTACTTTGGCAGTGATGGGGGGGGGGGGCATGTTTGGCTTTTTATTTTCTATGGTGGCAAGAACATTTAACATGAGATTTAACCTCTTCACAAAATTTTAAGTGCATAATACAGTATTGTTAACTCTATATGATGGCATACGTTTGGCTCTTTATTTAGGGTAAAGATTGAAACCCAAATTCAGCTGAGAATTGAATTTACCATGGAAAACCCTGGGCAGGGTCTCAAAATGCAGTGCAGGTGTGACTGCCCACAGTGTCCACTCATACCCTTTCCCAAGGAGCAAGCTTCAGCACTGATTTACCCCAGAGGCAATTTCACCACAGGCTATAGTGAGCAATGGATGTTGTAGCGAAGATTCCGATCTAGAGACAGAGTAGGGTTTTACATCCAGCAAGTGACCCCAGGCCTCTCTCTTCTCCAGGTTCTCCCCTACACCCACCTCTCCTACCTCCTTCTTCTTTGTGGCACAGTTAGCTCTGGGCTTCTCTCCCTTACGCATGACGCGAGGCTATGATTCACACAGGAAAGGCCACCATCACCCTGAACAAGACTATATTCTCAGCAAAACCCTCACCAAAAACCCTCCAGCTACTTGGATGTATCTTCTTGGAAGGCACGGGGGAAGGGAAGTTTTAACTTTTCTGAAACAAATACATCTTTTCCTGCCATGTTCTGTAATTCTTTAGAATCAAATGTATACCTCACCACTAAATCACCCTGTAACTGGAAACCCGTTTCGCAAGTTACCTACAGTCCCTTGTAAGAAATTATTTTTCTGCTTAAATTGGTCAGTTTGTTTCTACTACTTGCTCCCACAACCTGACTGGTGTAGTGGATCATTTCCTTCCCTCAGCCTCTGCTTTCTCATGGCCTGTACTGACTCAAGTATCTACCTACCTCCTTCTTTCTGTCTTCCTGCCTTATCTCCTGCTTCCAATGATTTAGCTCTCTCCTCAGACCTCAGAGGAGGACTGGCTGGCCCACCGAATCCCTGTTGCCCCTGTTTGGGCAGAGCTTTGGGTCAGATCATCTCTGAGGTCTTAGCAAGCCTATGGACCAGCTGCCCTTAGGGTGCTCAGCTGTAGTAAAGTGGGGGGGGGGGATGTGGAACTGGGTGAGGGGAGACCCTTTCAGCAAAATAGCAGGCATGAGAAACACTCCAGGGCTTAGTCTGTTCAGAACTGGAGATGATTGTCCCCTTACCTCAGAGCTGGTCACATCACACCTGGAATGTGACCTCCCATTGCAATTCCCAAACCAGGAGAGAGCCCTGGACTAAGGGAGCCCTATCTCACCACAAGAGACTGGAACAAAGAGGGGACAGTTCCCACAAGGGTCAGGTGAGGGAAGGAGGGAGCCCAGAGGACATAATCTTTATCTGTACCTGCTGATGCACTGTCTTAGCAGTGACAGGAGCTGAGTTGTTCTGGGTGGCCTGAAAAGCAGCACAGAAACAGATATGAATATTACAAGGGAGCTTGAGACATATTTTCTCCCAGCCAAAGCTGTCCCACAACAGTCCAGGCAGTCTTTGAAGATAGTGAGCTCTCCGTTATTAGAGGTGTTCAATAGAGCCTGGTTGCAATGGAAAGGATTCCTACAAGATTGAATTGGCTGAACTAGGACTCTTCCAGCCTTGAGCTTTGGCATTTAGAATACATAGTTGAGTGAATGAAGACTGAATGCCTACTTAATACTTGTTGGTTGGATGATGGTTGATTTGTTAAAGAAAGTGATTGATTGAATGAATGAAATGGACAGGCTGTTCCAATAAATGAAAGATATTTGACTGAGTGAAGACTTGTTCGTTCTTTGATTAGCTGAATGAAGATTGATTGGTTGAAATAATGAATTAGCAAATACAAAGTGTGGATGAGCAGGCTGGTTGAGTGAAGGTTTGATGGCTGGTAGGATTCAGTTCCTTGATTCCTACTCTATTCTCTCATTTTGCACTTTATCCTGCTTGTCTTTCTTTTCCTTCTAAGTGTAGTCAAGAAGAAATGTTTTCATTTGTGTGCTTGATGTGGAAAATATTGTAGGCTAAAGAGCCCTTTTCATAATCAGGATTTCATCTTAGGCAAATTTGATTGCCCAGGCAAATGCCTATGGTGACTGGTATAACGTGCTTCAGGACTCAGGGGAGGTGTGGATTTAGCATGTTGGCCAGAGAAGGGCAACTGAAGGTCACACCTGGGGCTTGGCCTGTTTGGCCCCTCACCTGGAGGCAGAAATTACTGTCCTCTCTGTGGGTTAGGAGAGTATGCCTATTTGGCAAGAAAATATCTTCCAAACATCCTTTCAGGGTGCCTAAAATTTCACCAATAGAATCACACCTTCTTTGCACAACTGCAAAATGAGGTGGTACATTCCAACAACCTATTATTTAGATTGCTGTATTTTGGAGTATGATCCCTGGTAAAACGTGAATGGAATCAGGGAAGGGATGTTTATGAAGCTCTGCTGACTAGATTAACCAACTGTTATTGCCATCAGCTTCTCAGGTCAATATGGTCTGTCAGCTGAGTTGGGTGTCCCTGTCAGATTCAGAGGGATCAGGGCATAGGCTGGATACATTTTGATAGAGGGTGTGAATGGAAACTAACCTGAGGCTTGAGTACTATGCTGGGATACAGACCTAGGCAGGGGGCGTGGTGGAATGCTGAGGATGAGGAACAGCCGGGGAGCTCTCAGAGGGTATCTGAGAAGGGCTTGCAGGGAACCGAAGTATAGAAAGAGCCTCAGAGACTTTCCCTCCTATTCCCCAGGGTTGTCTTGAGCTGAGTTCAGAAAGGGATAATACACTTGTCTGGTGCCCCTCACCCTGCCCCACTTCTGGGAGCTAGAGAAGCCAAGAACTTGAGAACTACATGTAACTGGTCTGGTCCCTCCCCCAGCTTAGGGCACAAATTATGCTCACATTTTCCCCCCCATTAGTTACTTGAGCTCCCTCAAGATCTTATCAAGAGGAAGTCCAACCTGCCCCTCTGGGGGCCTTTTCTCCTGCTTCATAGGACTGCTCAAAACCCTTGGGGCTAGTTCATTTCAACCCAGGTTCCTGCAGAGCACCAACCTTGCTCCATCTCGCTGCTCCAAAGCCCCAGCTCTCATTCACACTCCTGAGCTCAGGCAATTTTCTCCAGGGGGAAAGTTGAAAGGGGCTTCTAGGTCTTTAGCAGCAGGGTTGAGTCTTGTCCCCAGTACAAGACTCCTTTCCCACACCACGGAGTTCCCCTTGGGGACCCAACCATCCTTTCTCATTGACCAGTGACCCTTATTGGGGATGGTTATCTGGGGAGAGAGTTGACCAACTTTGAACCTCTCAAGGGCAGGAGTTGGCCCTTCTTCCATCTGTGCCCTGGAAGCTCCTTTCTGCCGGGCTCCGCCTCCCTGTTGGATCTTGGGAGAGGCAGACTTTGTCCGGCCACACAGGGTCCCATTTTGTTCTGCCAAGGCCTATTTACATCTGATAACCTCAAGTGACTGCCAGAACAGAGAGGGCCTCCTCCTCGGCAAAGTCCTGCCCCAAGGACAAAAAATGAGAAGCTTCCTGCCCATTACACTTGGTCTCCTCCAGTTAGTGCCCCAGAAGGGAAGTGGCTTCAGTGACCATGAGTCAGGGGCATTTTACACTGTGCCACCAGGTAAAGACCTTAAGGGCTTTTGGGTGGGGCAGGGCAGGGAAGGAAGGACCGAGAGAAAGGACTCTCACACGTGAGCACCCTCCACACACATACTCCTCACCAACCCCTCTCGCCGCCAGTTAACTACCACCAGCTCCTCTCCCAGACCTCACATGGCCTTTGGGTAACTTCTCTGATAAAAGGGCTCTAGATGCTAAAATGGTTAAAATAAATAAATAAATAAATTCTAGGCCAACCACAGTGAGATACCACCATACTCATCAGGATGGCTATTATTATATAAAATAATAAAAAGGAAAATAACAAGTATCTCCAGCCTGTGTCCCTGGAAGAAGCTGGAACCCTCGCGCATTGCTGGTGGGAGTGTGAAATGGTGCAGCCACTGTGAAAAACAGTTTGGTGGTTCCTCAAAGAGTTAAACGTAGAATTATCGTATGATCCAGCAGTTTTACTTCTAGGTATATACCCAAAAGAATTGAAAGCTGAGACTCGTATTTGTTTTGTCTTTGTTTTTTTTTTTAAAGATTTTATTTATTTATTTGAGAGAGAGAGACAGAGTTAGCGAGAGAGAGCACGAATGGGGAGGAGAGGGAGAGGGAGAAGCAGCCTTCCCACTGAGCAGGGAGCCCGATCATGACCTGAGCTGAAGGCAGATGCTTCACCAACTGAGCCACCCAGGCGCCCTCAAACAGATATTTGTATACCCGTGTTCATATTAGCAATATTCATAAGAGCCAAAAGATGAAAACAACTCAAGTGTCTATCAACAGATGAATGGATAAGCAAATTGTGATCTATCCATACAATGGAATACTATTCAGCCTTAAAAAGAAATGAAATTCTGACACCTGCTACAACGTGGATGAGCCTTGAAGACAGTAGGCTAAATGAATTAAGTGAGACAAAAAGGGGCAAATATAGGATGATTCCACTTACAGGAGGTACTAGAATAGGCAAATTCATAGAGACAGAAAGTAGAATAACAGGGTACCAGGGACTGGGAGGGGAGGGGGAATGGGGGAATTATTGTTAGTTTGATGGGTACAGAGTTTCTGTTTGGGATGATGGAAAATTTCCGGAAATATACAATTGTGATGGTTGCACATCATGAATGTACTTAATGCCACCAAATTGTACACCTGACAATGGTTAAAATGGTAAATTTTTTGTTCTATATTTTATCAAAAAACAAACCATATCCAAGCCCCTCTTCTTAGCCTAGAGCAAAAATTTGGTAGCCTCACTTCAATTCAAAGGCCCTCCCTCCCCAAAGGTGTAATTTTTGAAGGGGTCGAAGCAGCCTGTGCCCTCTGTTCCGTTAGCTGTACTTGGGGCAGAGATAGTCTTTTCTTCCTCTGTGGCTAGGAGAGGAGATGGGATGAGAGATAAGGGAGCAGCAAGCCAGCACCCTGCACAAAGTGACAATTTTCTTCCACTTCATCCTGCCTATACACTGTCTTAATTGGAGGGCTTCTAGGGGCTACAGAGTCCATTTTTTATTGTACAGATGGGAAAAGTGAAGCTCACAGAGAAGGCATGACCTGTCCAAGGTCATATACTTTCCTGACTCACTGCTCAGTGCTCTTTCCCCTGGGCTGGGGTGCTGAGAACAGACCACCTTGAGACTGGCAGTGTTTCTCTGGGAAGTGATGACCTATGACCTCTGGGCTCTGAAGCCTCTTCAGCTAGGCCTGGATGGGGATCAAGCTACGAAAGTTAGGATGGTCCCACAGCTGGGTGCAGGGGCAACCACTCCCACCCAGGTCTGGTGGGGATGCTCCACCTACCCCCAAGCATTTCCCTACCGATACTCCCTCCCTTGGCCTCCCTACCTTATTGAGCTCTCCCCTCCCGTCTGACAGTGCTCCCGCCCACTTCTCTAGCCTGTGTCCCCAGGAGACCCCTTCAGGTAAAGGATGACAAGACCGAACAAATTGATGGGTCAGGACTGCAGGGTGCCCAGATTCATTTATTTAGTCCTCAAACTGTCAAGAGCCTGCCAAGTCTCTGGTGAACACTGATTTAGAGGGCATGCATGCCTGTGGCCCAAGTCAGGTGGCCTACAGACACTTCCTCCTACTCCAGCTGTTCTACCTGGCCTAAAATTCCCTGGCCAAGGGACAGAGCTTCACACCTTTTCCCAGCACAGCAGAGAGGTTTAATAGATCCCCACTCCCAGCCCTGGGGGGCACACAGCAAGTTCACACCAGAACGACTCTGATGAAAAAGGCCTGAGGGCCAGAGTTAACCTCTAGCACAGCTCCTCACTGAGCAGTGCCCAGCATAGTGCTGATTTCCCGAAAGTTCTGTTAAATTAAAAAGCTCTTAGTTCCAAGAGAATGTCATCTCCACAATGTCTGAATTAACACAGGCAGCAGGGAGTCTGTAGGGAGAGATGGACAGAAAATATTTACAGTGGGTCAGCAGCAGAGACAGAGGTTAATACAGACCATGGGGTGAGGGATAAAGAGCCTGACCCTGCCTGGGGTGGGGAATCTCGGAGGGCTTCCTGATGGAGGGGACTCCTAATTTGAAATCTAGGCAATCTATGGGAATTGGGCAGGACCAAGGGGTGGGAGATAGAGAAAGGTGGTCACGTCAGAGAAAGTAAGTCCAGCATTGCCTGGGGGCCCCTGTGCCTTGAAGCCCCAGTGTGAGCCGGGAAGGGGGTGGGTAAAGGAGAGGGTGGCTCAGGTCCCTCAGTGGAGGGATGGGTGGGATGGGGTGGGATATGGCCTGTTGGGGAGCCTCAGAGGAGAACCCTACACAAGCAAGGGCTAAGCTCCCTGACCTTGTAGGAGCCCAGGATGTGGAATCCCAGCACCCTGAGAGGAGCCTCCAGGCTTTTAGGTTGTGTCTTAGCTGACAGTGTGACTGGTTATAAGAGCTCTCTTTGGCCTGGTGGTCTTCTTCCTGATGACCTCCAAACCCCTTTGGGTGGCATCCTTTATTTTTGCCTGATACCTGGCGTTCCTGGAGGCTCCACTTCTAGGCCTGTGTCTCTTCCCAGCAGCCCAGAGCAGTACTGGGGTGGGTATGGTATGTGGTGGGTGGGGAGTAGGGGCTGGGGGATGGGTGGGGATAAAAAGGTAGCTCATCACAATTTGGAATCTTGTCTCCTGAGAGCCAGATGAGGTCATGGCGATTGTCTAACCCAAGCTAACCATTTTACAAATGAAGAAACCTAGACCCACACCTAGAACCAGGTAAGGAGTTGTCCAAGGCTATTTGGTGAGCTGGGAACAGAGACAAAATTAGAACCGAGGCCTTCTGACCCTAACTGAGAGCCTTCTTTCTCCGTCCAGGATCTTGCAGGAAAGAAATAAGCATTTTAGGGGCGCCTGGGTGGCTCAGTTGGTTAAGTGTCTGCCTTTGGCTCAGGTTGTGATCCCAGGGTCCTGGGATTGAGCCCTGCATCAGGCTCCCTGCTCTTTGGGGAGACTGCTTCTCCCTCTGCCTCCTTCTGTCTCTCATGAATAAATAAGATCTTAAAAAAAAAAAAAAGAAAGAAGCATTTTATTTATTTATTTATTCATTTTTTGAAAGAAGCATTTTAGTAGAGCAGTGAGTCTCCGACTTGATAGGTTAGCTTAAGACACTGCACTGAAATGAAACGTGGTCGCTTTAGGAGATTTTTTGGCACGAGTTTGCTGATAAACCCAGAGACCAGCACTGACACTTAGAGCTGCTTCTTTTCTTAGATGCTCTGCATTCCAACCAAGCTAGAATATTCTCATATTAATTTGTTTAGATTATCATTAAAGTGAAGGTACTGCATTTAAAAATTCAGGTAGAATATTTGTAGCCACTCATGACTGAAGCTGGAAACCCTCAAGAAACTGAGGAGCCTGGTTAGAGGAATTGCTAGGCCAGAAGGACAGATGGTCTTGGGGAGGGGGTGGGAACAGGCCAGCTCTAAGCTGCAGAGTCATTTGTGATGGGACACAGTGTGGGGCTGGACTCCTGTCCTCTGCTTACCTCACACCTCGGCTCTTGCCCTGTGACAGGGCTTGGGAGTGTCTTTCCCCGTGGCTTTGACTACGTAGAAATCTGCAGGTTCCAGACAGAGGTCAGAGTCCTTCCTGAGGCCTTCTTAAGGGATCCTGAGTTGGACATGCCCCTTTCTGGGCCTTGGGTCTTCATCTATAATACAGTGGAGTGGACTTGCTAGGAAGGACTGATGGGGATGGGATGGGAGGGGGGGCAGGAGCATCCATTTGTTAGAGCTGCCCCTGTAAACTGGACAGATTTTCTGGGAGTTGATAGGTCCAGAGCTGAAAAGATCATCTACCCTTTACTCCAATTCTGAGACATCACCTTTCAGAAATAATGCAAGAGGAAAGATATGGCTCTAGAAAAGACTGATAATCACCCTTTAGTTATAACCCAGAGCTTGCCCCCTATCTTGCAGCTTACATTTTTGTCCCTAGATAATCATCTGGTCCTTGTGGCCGCCCTGGGAAACCAACAGGCCTCCTCCAGGCTCCCCCAGGCCCATTTGTCCTCCTCTGCCAAAGTGATCTCAGGGTGTTATTACTGTCTGTGCCCTGTCCCTCCCCCACCCCCACCCCGCCAAGGAATCTGAGCACAGAGCCTCCAGGGTTGCTTGCTTTCTTTCCATACCCTTAGGGCCCAGCAGCTCACCTGGACCGGAGAAAGCACTGAAAGGGCTAGCTGAAAGAATTAAAGTAGACCAAATGCTGCAGGCAAACATCCTTCCCCTGAGGCCCTGTAACAGCTCTGCACCTGACTACCCATCAGGAAGCAGATCCGTGATCAATGGCAAGTCAGGGACACCGGAGCTTGAATACAGTAGGCCTGAGCACTAGCCTCCAGGGACAGGGAAGGCCAAGGACCTTGATGAAGTGAGAACCAGCACAGAGGCCACCTTTTCTGGTTCACCCTCTGCTGGCCTCCCAGCTTCTTTGGCTCAGCAATGCCCAGGATTCCGGGCATGTCTGCCTCTGGCCTTCTAAAAATACTCCGGCTGCCCAGCGCCTCCCAGATGTCTGAGAGCTGAGTCTGTGATTTCTCTGCTGGTAATGGGTCAAGCAGCTCAAGCCACTTCCTCTGCTCCCACCACCCAGCCTACCTCCCCACCCCTGGAAGGCAGGCGCGGGGAGAGGCCTGACTGCCTGAATGGAGAGATCTCAGACATTGTTGATGACAGCCCCTTCTTGGAACAGATGGGAGAACTGAGGTCCAAGGACTTGCCCGGGACACTCGGACACAAATGTCCGCCCCCCCTCACTCCCAGCACTCTGTTTATGCCTGCTGTCACCCCACTTCTCATATGCTGCCTGCAGTCTGTAAGCTGGATCTGACTTCCCCACTCCAGTTAAACTCCTGTAAGCCCACAACAGCAGTGGGGGGGGGGGGCAGGGGGCGGGGCGGGAAATCCCTGTGGTCCCTAGAAGAGTGTCTAATCCAGAGCACACATAAGTAGATGTAGATTGAATTAATGACGCAGTGGCAGCCAGGGCTGTGCACAGAGGCTTGGGCTGGGGGACAGAGCTGGGGTCCTTGTCCAGGGCCAGCCACTGTGCTACTGTATGTCCTCATCAATTGCTCTGGTTGATGCTCAGTTTCATGGGGGTGAATGAGATGGTATCCAAGGACTGAGCCAGCTCTGCTGTTCTGGAGCCTTGATCTGATGGCTTATTGTGAATTCCTAGCCCCTCCTCGGCTCCACTGAGTGTAGGGAAGATGGTAAGTCCTGCTGGTTCCACCCAGCTCCGGGCTCTCAGCTTCTGCTCCTCCCTCCACGCCTCTGAATATCCCACCTCTGGTCCCATTCTCCTAGGCCCAGCCCTTACAGTGGAGCCACCCTCTGACCCTGCTGCCAGGTGTCCAGGGGTGAACCCACCCACAACACCCGCCCCCCATTAACCATATGATCTTGGGTAAGGCATTGACATTTTCAGGGCCTCAATTTTATCACCTTTACAAAGGAGAAAATAAGACCCTACCTTAGAGAAATGTCAGGAGGGTCAAAGGAGATTCCATATCTAAGATTTCGGGTCATGAATCTCTTTCCACAGAAAGTCTTCTCTGACCTCCCAGAATAGCTCAGGTGACTTTGCTAGCTCTCCAGTTCTGTCCTCGCCCCAACATCACCTGTCCACACTGTGTGGTCATTGTCTCTCTCTGATGGGGGCTCCTTGGGGACAGGAGTACACAGGGCCCAGCATAGCATCTTCACAGATGAAGTGCAGGTTAAGTTGGTTGAGCAACAAAGTGAGTAAATAATGCCTCGGGAAAAGGCAAAAGGTTGTGCAGAAGCCAGGGAGTCTGATCTAGGAGGGGCCTGCTTGATGGCAGGCTCTGGTGGAAGGAATACAGAGAGCTTCTTGGAGCCTTTCCCTTCCTTCTCTGGTGAGTTCATCCTTCAAGATCCTGGGAAGCATCTCCTTCTCTGAGAACCCTGGTCACTGTCTCACCTGGGCACATGTCACACTCCACTGTAGGGTTTCTTTACATGTCTGTCTCCAGCCTCAGGTCAGTTCCCTGAAGGCAAGACCCTGTTGGATCTTCATACACCAAGCCCTGGAGCCCAATAAAGGGCATGGAGAAAAAATATAGCTGGAGAAATGATTTCTGAATTGGACTCCAGGTTGAACTGCCTGATCTTTTATGCCCTTCCTAGCCTTTGGGATGATATAAGTTACCAAAACGAGAGAGAAGCAGAGGGGCAAGCTATTGTCCTTCTTCCAAAAGTACCCTCCAAGCACATGTGGATTAAGTGTGAGCTGGGGAAAAGGACTGATAAAGAGCAGTGAAAATATATTCCCAAGCCCCATCTTTGTCCCCGGGCTTTTGTCTCTGTTGAGGAAAGGCCACAGAAACTTTAAGTATAAAAGGCCCCTGGGTATCCCAAAGATGTTCCTCAGGCACTTGGTCTGAACCCATTTACTCATATTTTACACATTGATGTTACGCCTTTGACGATCTTGTTGAAGCAGTTTGAAGGTTAGTTGGCAGCCTTGTTGGGGGCGAGAAGCTGCCGTTGCAGGCAGGCGCTGGGAGAGAATCACTTGACGGTCCAGTAGAAGGGAGAGAGAAAAACAAAGCAATATTACACTGGCAAAAGCACTCAAGAGCAACACAGATTGGGATCATTTAGTTCAGGGTCAAATAAATGCTCCTGGGTAGATCACTGGATTTCTGCTCTGGGAAAAATCGCTTTTGGGGCCTCAGTCTCCCTCTTTGCAAAACGAACGGCTTCCATCAAGGGTTCTGAGAGTTTATGATTCTGCAGAAGTTTCTTCACGTGAGGCCTCTCACCCCCCAACTACACAGGTCATAGGAGGTTTCATCAAGGTCCAGGCTCCAGTCTTCTGGGGTGTGGGGTAATGAGGCTTTTCTGCCACAAACTCCCAAGGGTAGAGACTGTCCTTGGGGGAAGTCCACCACAAAGCTGTCTGGGCTGCGGACCTAAGGAGAAACAACTCCCCAGGAGCTGGCATGGAGGCAGTGGCCCTTGGTATGCTTGCTGCCTACGGAAGGAGTGAAAAGGAAGCCTGGCTGCGAGTACAGCGGAAGTGCCTGAGGTCTGACAGTTGCTCAGAGCACTCTGCAGCCAGGAGGGAAGTAAAACTGAGCATCTGGCAGCTTCTACCTTGAAAGCCCATGGGACAGCAACAGGTGAGGCCTCGTGCAGGCCTGTTCTCTGGTCCAGAGGTTGGCTACAGGCCAGGGGAGATCCCTGGAGAGTAGGCTGGGCCCAAGGACTTGGGGGAGGGCAGAGAAAAAAGCCCTAAAGCTGGTTCACGTCCTTGGGCAAATCTCGGTGCCTCCTTGGGCTCAGTTTCCTACTTGCAAACATGGAATTGGGATTAAATTTGCCTGTGCCCTAAGTATTTCTGGAAGGGTGGGTATTGGGAATACAGAGACGATTTGGTTGGAAGAAAATCTGGCCTGTTACCTTGCCAGCAAGGGACTCAGTCTGGTGGGGGATAGTTACAGAATTATGGGGTAAATCACGATTATCAACGTACATACAGGTGCTGAATAACTCTCAACAGAGAGCACCTCACCTAGCTTGGGGGCTTGGGGAGAGCTCCAGAGAAGGTTAAGTGACTTGCCCAAGGTCACATAGCAAAAAAGCAGTCCAGCTGGGCCAGACTTGAAAGGAAAGGGAGTTCAGAAAGACATAACTAAATAGAAGTCTGGTCAGCCAGAGCTTAATGCTGTCATCAAGATCTGAACAAGGTTGTCCAGAACAGGAGCATTAATTTTGACCTGATGGCAGCAGGAAGCAGGGGTTTTGGGGGATGGGGGGCTTGCAAAGTAAATTTGAATTTATCAGGCAGAGAAAAGGGGGAAAAGCTGAAAGCAGAGGGAACAGCATATTCAGAAGCGTGAAGCTGCTAAAAAAACTTGAGTTCTGGAAAAATGCATATATATGTTGTGCTGGGAACAAAGCATGTCTAAAATGGTGAAGCTGATGAGGTCAGGTAGGCTGGCAGGAGTCCTGCGGTGAGGGGCCTGGAACGTCATGTTAAGAATGAGGGGCTTAATTTCTAGGGCAGGGGGAGCCATAGAAGAGTCTGGAACAGAGGAGTGCACAGTCAAAATAGCCTTTCAGAAAGCTTGCTCTTGCTGCTAGGAGGGCAGAGGAACCGGGTTGGGGGAGAGGTGGTGACAAACGATTGAGGCTACCTACGTCAGTGTCAGGCCTAACCCCTGTTGAGAAATTGAAACTTTTTAGGAGCCTACAGAGGTATGGAGGAAATGAGAACTGAAACCTGCGCCCAACTATGGCTGTGGTCTGGGCAGGTGTGGTTAGCAAGGGAAGTGAAACCGTTGGGCGGACAGGCAGCCCAACCTGGGGGAAGGTGGGATACCCTGTGAGGGAATGTGGGAGGCCTGATCCCAGCTAGGGCAGGGTGAGAGGCTATGTCCTGAGGGAGGCCAAGGGACAGTCTGCCACGGACCACTGTGTGCCCCACCAAGTGTCTGCCCCTCACTCCTGCCCTCAAGAAGCCCACTTCCTCCTGCCAAGTCTTTGTTCAACTGTCTCCTGAACTAAACTTTTCCTCCCTCTTCTCCCTGCCTTTCCAGCACCCTGTGGTTCCCGGCCAGGCCCTGCCCAGCCCTCTAGGAAGCCTGTCCTGAGTGGTGCAGGTTCCTGGCTTCCCACGGCCCTGCTATCCACCTTGCCGAAGCTGGGGTGCAACCATGCTCTGTCTTGAGGCATGTTTTGTTCTGTGGTCTTGGTTCACCATCCCAGTCAATGTTACCTTGCTGCAGGTGCCTCTGTCTCATCAGACTCTGCCCACAGGAGTTCTTTAGGAGTGACAGGAAGTCAGAATCAGACTCTGGGGCCCCTAAAGAAGCCACGTTACACATGCCTTCCCTAGCGCAGGCACATGGGAGGGCTGTTCATGGGCTAGGCTGGTTGGTTCTTTGTTCTGGGAAATGTGTTGAACTAATTGAGCCAAATAGGCAGATCCAGGTGGAGGGTCTTGTATTCGTCAGGAGGCCAGCAGGAAGCAATTCACCTCTCAGGTTCAAGTGAAGAGATTTACTGAAAGATCTGCTGTACTGAGATATGGGCAGGTGAAGGGAACAAACAGCAGGATGGGGAGGCACCCACCCAGAGACCAAGGCTGAAGGAGGGACAGGAATCTTGTTATTGGAGCCCAGTGAGAAGTAGGGCTGCCTGGCAGGAATGGGATCAAGGAGGAAGTGGGGAAGACATCAAAGAAGGGAGGGAACAGAGGGAGAAATAGCCCAACCTCCCTTCTCTCTCATCCTCTGGTGTCCTGTTGTTTCTCATTTCTCCAAACCCAAGTGGAACCCAGTTGGCAAGGGGGCCTGGTGATATGGCCCAAAGTTCCCAGCCTCCTAGGGCACCGTGTAGGGCCAAGGGTCTGGGCGGGGGGGTGGTTCGTGAAAACAGAGATTAACTATCTCCAGATATGCCTGAAAAATTGTCACCCAGATGCAATATCTGGATGATGCCTATGGCCTCCACCCAGTCATTTCTCTGTGATCAGTGCTGGGTTGGAGAAGGTTTCTCTGGCTGCCTCAGAGGGAAAAGACCAAGCTTCACCTTTATGTTAATTTTGTTACCATTTAGAAAACACTGTCTAGTCTTGATTGTTACAGAACTAGAGAATGATAGAGCCAGGGGGGCCTCAAGGGTAACCATCCCAACTTCCACAGTGACTGAGGCCCAGAGAGAGTGAGAGCTGGGCCCAGGGCCACAGGACCCACACGTAGAGGATGTTGGAGAGGTGTGCAGTAACCAGATGATGCAGTCAAGGCCACACAGCTACAAAGTAGCAGAGCCAAAATTCAAAGTGGTCAGTCTGACTTAAAACTTGACCAAGCTCTTAACCAAGCCCCTAGGCTGAGTGCCTAATGGGCTGGGAAGAAAGGCAATGGAGTTAGTGTGACCCAGCCCAAGGTGCCTTGTCTTTCAGACCTGCCCATCCTCTCCTTTTTGGTCAACACACTCACAGACCTCCACCTGGGAGGAGTAGCAGTGAGGTCACAGGCCCAGTGCAGTGTGTGAGGACAGAGGGCTAAATATGAACAGAAGACAGGTCTGCACAGGCCCTTGGGCACACCCTTCCTTAGGGTGCTGTCCTGGGCCTTCTCTTCTGTGATCTGGCTGCCCACACTTAATGTTCCATGGTTGGTAAACCTTTGGGACTTCAGGCTTCCAAATCCATCCATCCAGCATGCCTTGTCCTAGGTGCTGGGGATACACTGACAAACAAGATCTCCTCCGGAGATCTGTGGGGATGGAAGCATTGATAGGATGGGTGAGATGAGCAAGACACATGCCGGTTACAGAGTGTGATAAACATCATAAAGGAAGATTGCTTTTCAAAATTTAGAGCAAATATCCAAGCGGGACTCCCAAGACTGCAGTCCACCTTTGTAGGCTCATTTTTTGGGAGACTCAGACTGTCCCCAAACATGGCTCAGCCCATCCAGCCTGTGGTGTTTGCTCTCCTGGGAGTGTCTACCTTCTACACCTCAAGGCCCACTTCTAAGGCAGCCTCCTGGGGTTCCCTGGTTCAGACAGAGGCAGCCTTCCCCACGGGCAACTTGTAGCACTTGGATTCCGTGGTTTGGAATTTCTTATACAGGCTCAAACAATAGTGAGGGGATTCTAAATCTTGTCTCTATTAGCTTAATTTTCCATTCTTCCCTTCCTGAACACTCTAGGTGCAGTAACCGTATGCTCAACTGTGGCAGCCCAGCTCCCAAGGGGAGGGGCTGGGGGAGTCCAGAAACTGTGATAGAGTAGTTAACCTCTGGACACTGGAGTAGGGACATCTGGGTTCAAATCCTGCTTCTTACTAATTGTGCAATCACGGGCAAGTTACTTATCCTCTCTGAGCCTCAGTTTCTCCATCCTTAAAGTCAAGTTAATGGGGGTGTTGTGAGAATCAACAGGTTAACACAGTCAAAGCCCTCAGAGCTGCGCCTGGTACTTCATAAGCATGCAAGAAACGTCAGCTATTGTTATTATAGCTATTATTAGGAGCTAGTGGGTGTGCTTGTAAACAGCTCCTCACACCCAAGCAAAGCTGGTACAGATACACGGGCTCAACACACAGCAGCACTTAGAGATGGGACAGGGTGGGGAACTGAAACCCCATTTGAGAGATGAACGGAGACTCAGAGAAGGCAGGGCATTCATTCGTCTAACAAATACTTTTTTGGGGGGGAGCAATTTCCACATGTCAGGCACCGCCTCTCTTCCCACATCAAACCTACTGAATCCTCAGAGGAGGGCCCTCTGTTTTAAACAAGCAGCCCTAGGTGATTGTCCAGCTTTGGGCGAGTCTGGGTAAATGCTTGGATTGTAGGGTATCAGTGCAAACATTTTGCCACATTCCGAGTTTGGACTTGGGTTTTAGGGGGGCTACCATTTTCTGGTGACAGATTGGCATAGACCCTGGGCCTGATTAATTGGGTAGAAATCTCAGGTTGCCACCTATTGGCTGTATGACCTTAGGGTAAACTGGGGCTAATAATAGTACCTACTTCAAAGTTGTTGTGAGAATTAAATTATTTATGTGAATGCTGACACATAGTAACTATTATAAAGTATAAGCTATTATTATTACTGTGCCCAGTGTAGACAAGCATCAGAGAGAAGGCGGGGGTGGCGGATGTGAGGCTTCTCACCCCAGGATTGGCTCTGCCTGTCGCGTTGGCGGTGTCTGTTTCTTCAGGGAGACGCGCCACCTGCTCCCTTGCTCTGGAAGAGCTTTCCTGAGCCAGGGAATTCCCTCCCGTAGTGACTGACAGCAGCTCCCAGCTTCTGATGCCACGCGCTCTGCCCACATCAGCATGGTGAGAATTAGATCATATCTCGGGGCCAAGGCTGGACCAGAAAGACAGGCAGGCTTAAGTGTTGGAGTGTCCATTTAGGAGCCCTGAAAATGAGAGGGGGGAGGACAGGTCCTGGGGAAGCTCCTCTCTGCAGCCTGGGCCAGTTTTGGCTGAGGGCGGTGCTCAGCTCGCCCAGGCCACAGGCCACAGGCCACAGGCCATGGGTGTGTGGATGTGCTGCAGACAGGGGAAGGGCGGGTGCCCAGGGAGGAGAGGCAGGATGCCAGGGCATCTGCCAGCCCTCCAGGACACTCATTTTGGCCCACTGCCCTCCAGCGGGGAGCAGACAAGCGTGTTTTGTTTTGGCATTAACTGGGCAGGCTGTGGGAAAATAGGCGGCAGGCTTCCCAAGCTGAGTTTCATAGACCAGCGTACAGTGGTCACAGAGCTGCCACCTCCCCATGCTGCTGTCCCACCCCTACAACTCCCATCTCCTTCCCCTGGTCACTGCCTGACCCCAATTCCCCGCCACCCCGTTCAGCCTGGGGGTCCTCTACACGGAAGGGACTCTCAAAGGGGTGGTGTCTCAAGCCTTCAGGCTGGGCTTTGAAGAAACTCCCTGGTGGAAGTCCCTGTGTTCCAGATGAGGAAATGAAGGTTGAAGGAGGACTGGGACTTCCCGGGTCTTCACAATGAGTCAGGGGCAAAGCTGGGACTGTAGTTGGGCTCAACACCCTCCCATGGGAATTCCTCTTTTTGTGTTTTGTTTTTTTTACTTTTACAAACAAAACCAGAACAAAACGAAGGGAAACTGAAGGAAAACACATGCACACACAAAGGAAGCTCACATTGGTGGGCCAGCATGGTTGCAGGCATTTTATGTAAACATTCCCATTTAATTCCCACCACAACCCTGCAAGAAGTCATTATTCCCCTTTTAAGGACAAAGGAACTCAGGTGAAGAGATTTCAGAACTTGGTCAAGAACTCAAAGCTAGGCAGAAGAGGAACCAAACATCTCACCCAGGTTTACCTGACCCCAAGTCCCTGCGATGTCAATCCTCCTCCCAATCCTGACTGTTTTATCCATCAGTCCAAGTTTCACAGAGCTGTGATCACAGTGCAGCTCCCAGTGGGAAGGCCCTTGTTGGTGTCCCACATAGGCAGTCATTCAAGCTTCCCTGATGTGTCCCAAGATGGGCAGTCCCTAGCATACATAGCTCCTCAGTTCTTTACAGATCACATAGCTGTGCCCAAAAGGTCACATTCAGCAAGTGGCTGGCAAAGACCTTGGTTTCCTGCTTCCTCATATCAAAACCATGTGACTCTCAGCTCCTACTATAGCCCTGGGACTGGCTGTCCCTCACCCCCACCCAAGCTGTAACACTCCCTGGCACCAGCTGACCAGATAATTCCCTGTCCCAGTGCCTGCCTCTCAGGGACCTACCTCTGGCCTTAGACCCCATACTACCACCAGGTGGAATCTGGGTCCCTATGACTCTCCTGACCCTGCATGTTCTGGATTCATGGCTATGACCTTTGGTCCATGTGTTGAGATTGGGAGTTCCTGGAGTGCAGGACCTGGGTCTTACCCCAGAGACCTGCTTATGACTGAGCCCAGAAGAAGGGACTTGTTGAGTGATGCTAGATAGAATACAAGGTCTAGTTCTGCCACAAAATCACTTTGTGTCCTAGGGAGCCGCTGCCCTCTTCTGCTGGTCCCTGATCTTGAAACCTCTTTGAGTGGGCTGTGATTCTCTGTCTTGAGAGCTGACTAATGGAGGCACGCTCCCACACCAGGCTTACCAGAGGGCTGTGTTGAGGGGATTAGCTCAGGCAGGAGAAAAAGCTGGTATGTGTGTGTGAGGAGGAGGGCGGGGAGTGGAAATACAGGGAGAAAGGTAACTAGAGTAGTAGGGAGGTAAATGGGGGTAGGGTCCACAGACTGCATTATTTGCAGCAATGTAGCCAGGTAGCCTCAGTGGGGCTCAAACAAGGAATAGCTAGCATCTGGATGGGCTAACAGGTATTCCTGAGCAGCCTGCACCAATGTGAGTGGGGGATAATGATAGAGCAGGAAAGGGAGTAGAGAGGGCTGTGAACCTAGCTACAAGGAGGGTGGGAGGTGACCTGGTGCAGTATGGGCATATGGGATGGTGGCTGCCTTCTCTAGAGCCTTGGATGGAGTGCCAGTCTGTCCTGGGTGGCCACTCTGAACCGTGGTGGGGTGCTATTTACATTCTAGTCATGCTCAAGGGCTGCTGCCCACTTCACATCCCTGGAGTTTCTCCTGGGAGCCCTGTGGAATATTGGAATAGCTCATCTTCCAATGCCTACTCATATGCCCCCTCTAGGCCAGCTTCTAATCCTGGCTCTCACTTAAATTTAGAATTATGTTCCTTCTGGGAGATTGTACAGCAGCATGCACGCTGGAAGAAGAGCATTGCTTCAGAGCCAGAGGGAGCCGGGGCCAGGCCTTAGCTCTCCTGTCCTAGCTGTGTGACCTTGGGCTGGTCATTTTGCTTCTGATCTTCAGTCTGTGAAATATGTGAAATGGGTTTATATGTACCATGAGAAGTTGTGAAGGTTAGAAATAATGTAAATAACATGCCTACTTTAATGCCTGAAACATAGAAGAGGCAAAATAAATGGTAGCTGTTATTAATTCCTTCCCAGGGTGAGAATCCCATCTGTGGCCTCCTTGGTGGAAAGGAGCCAACAGCTACTTGCACTGCCCCAGGGATGGGGGAGCTCACCCCCTCTAGGGGCAGCTCTGCCTGGAAAACCTTCCTTAGATGCAGCTGAGACCTGTCCCAGTTCTGTCTCTGGGGCCATAATGCATGCTGCTCTGTGGCCACAGGACAGCTCTGTGGCATTACCTCAAAGAATCTCAAGAGATTTTACATCTGGTAACAGCGCTTATCTGCACTGCGGGAGCAAGGCTCTGGAAGTTCCCAGCCTCATTCAAAGCAGTACGTTTTAAGTCAGGCTTACCTAAATCATAGAAATCCCTTTCCCCATCTCTGTAGAGTTTGGAATATATGGATTGTATTCTCCTGAGTCTGCTTTTTTTCCTGGGTGAACTCTCTCATTTCCTTTGAACAAGAGGCAAATGGGAGAACTGGATTCTGGTCCCAAATCCATCACTTCAGGGCAAATTACTTATCTTCACTGAGTCTCCAGTTCCTCATTTGTAAAATGAATAAAATAACAGTCTCACAGGATTATAGGGAAGATAAGCTCAGAAAAGTAATAGGAAAGTTTGGAGTTTGGGAAAGTCACTTAGTAAATGTTAAACACATTTAAAACAAAAGAACAAACACATTTTTGAAAAAGCAGTTAGCAGGTCATCTGGTGTTGCCCCTTAGCTTTTTATCATACCTCCAAAGGAAGTCATCCCAGAAAGCCTATGCCGTTCCTGGTTTTAGAATAATGGCAGATCAGGTGGAGGATGCCCCCCTCACTCCACAAAATAGAGCCCCAGGGTTGTACTTCATCTGTCAAGAGCCTACTAAGTTCCAGGCTCATTCACTTACTTTATTCCATAGTTGGGGACCAAGACCTAGAAAAGGCCCAGCTTATCAATGGTAGAGGCTGGATCCCAAAGCTCCCAACATCTAGCAATTTTATACTCCTAGTCCTCACCTCCAGAAAAGAGAGGTGAAGGGAGGATAATCTCTGGGCCAGACTAGTTGCACCCAGGACTAAGATCCCGCAGATCTTTGTTAAGCACCTTCTGTGTGCATGACACCGCATCTGGGGAAGCACTGTTACCCCTCCCCCACTCCCCCTCCACATTCATGGAATGGCTGGTCTGGAACTCAGCCTTGCTGAAGGCTGAGGCAGATTCTGTCTTGCTAACCTCTGTATCCCCAGTGTCTGGCACAAGGCTTGGCACAAAGCAGGATCTTAGCAAATATCTTTTGAATGAATGATGAATCTGTAAGCATTTATTGAACACTGACTATGTACCAGGCCCTGTGGTAGAAGAAATTCTATTTAATACAACAAGCCTGCAGCGCTGGTATTATATCCCCATTTTACATGTGAGAAAGGCCGAAAGCAGTGAAACTGATTAGCTCAAGGCCTCACAATGAATTGGTGCTGAAGCTGAGATTGGAGCTCAGCCTGGCTACTTCTGGCCTGAGCTCTAACTGCTTGCTGCCCCACAGCTGTCAGGGAGCTGGGACTCCGCCCACCTGTTCCATTGCCCCAGGCCTTCCTTGATAAGTGATTGAGGACTCTGGTGAAGGGCTGACTTTTGAATAGCCTCAAGGAAACTAGAAAACACAAGCCTGATCTCCTAGTTCCTACACAATCTGACTCATGCATAGCTCTGATTCTATCACCTTCCTGTACAAAAATCTAGGTAATTCAGTGTGAACAACCTGGATTCAAGTTCCATCTTCCCAATTTCTGGCCACTTGTGGCCTCGGGCAATATACTTGGGTCTCTCCAAGCCTCAGGCACTTTCCTCTTTTGCCTGACTACACTTCTGAGAAACAGGTGTCTGGGACCCCAACTTCTGATGAAACCGTGGGGCGATCTAGTTCACCCTCCACACATCCGTGTGGCTCCGGAAGAGGTATTTTCATTCTCTTAAGGACCTCAAGAGAGGCTGATACCCCTACCCCCAGATGGTCTGGACAGGGCAGGAACGTGGGTGAACGGGGCTGCCTGGATGAATAGCCTCCCTGACAGATGAAGAAGGCAGAGCTCACCCAGCCAGTCAGAGGCGGACAGAGTGGACTGACACCCACAGGTCCTGACTACCCAAACGAGCTTCTTCCTTTGCCCCTGCTGCCTCCGCTACTTTTCCTCATGGTTATCACCTGCACCTTTTTTTTTAATGACCCATAGAACCCTTCGTGACCCAGAGAGTCTAGTCTTGCTGTGTGACCTACTAAAAGTCTCTCCTCTTCTATGGGCACTAGCCTCCCCATTTGTGAATTGGGGTCCTGGTCTTAACGACCTCACGGTTCCCTTCAAGCAGAGTCCGTGTTCTTTGACGTGAATGCCCTGTAGCAGAGAGCCGTTTTCTTCTCTGCAGGGCAACTAGACATCCCCCTGCCCCGCCCCCGCAGCAGTCAGGCACCTGTGGCCGGCTGAGGAAGAACTTGTCCATGTTCGCCCCCGCACGCTTGCCTCTCTGGCCAGCGCATTCGCTCGCCAGAGAGGGGTGTTGGAAGACCGAAAAGAAGTAAAAAACGGAACTCCCCTACTGCCACAGGCATACTACCCTCCGCGCCCCTGTAAAAACTTCACTCTGAGAGTCGTCCCCTTACACACACAGAGACACACATACACACAGAAACACTGCAGCCCAAAAGCCGGCAGGACGCGGGGGCGGCTTGTGCGCGTGCGTCGGCGCAGAGCCCTCTCCCGCCCACGTGCGCGGCCCCGATCGGAGGCGCGCGCCCGGTCGCCTGGCGGGAAAGCGCGCGTGAAGCCCCCGGCTGGCTCTCGGTGTGGGGGAGGGAGGACAGGAGGCGTTTGGAACGTGCCACTCTCGGAGACAACGGGGGGATATCCGTGCTTCACTAGCGTTTCTACCCCTCCTATTCGCCGACCGATCCGTTAGTTCCCCCACGTCCCCCGCCGAGATCCGAAACCCCGCGCCGCGGCCAAGCTCCCTCCCTACAGCGTGGCCCGGCCCCTGGAACCCGGCTCTGGACTGAGTTGTCCCTTCTGCCGCCGGAGCGGGGCGCTGCGCCACACGGTGGGGCCGGAAATTCCCGCGGCCCGAGTGGAGGAGCCGAAGCCGAGAGCGCGGCACCGCCTTCCACCTCCCCGGGCCGGGCGGGGGCGTCGGGCCCAGCGAGGGCTGGGCTGGGCTGCTTGAGTGGGGGCGGGGGGCCGCGTCTGCGAGGAGCTGCGGCGCGGGCGGGCGGGGAGCGAGACGACGCTGCTGCTCGAGAGCCGCTCGGCGAGCTAGGAGACCCTGTGCCCCGGCTCCTGGGCCCCCGCCCCCTCGCTGTCTCCGCCTCCTTCCCTCACACACCCCCGGGCCGCCGGAGCCCCAGGCCTTCCCGGCGCTCCTGTTCCTTCTCTTCACATTCGCCCTCCGACCCGGGTCCTCCAGCCGCCCGCCGGCCTTGCTTTGCTCCCTGCCGGGCGAGTCCTCGTTCTCAGACTCTCCTTACACACACACACACACACACACACACACACACACACACACACACGCGCTTGCCGAGCCGCCACTCCTCACGGCCCCCCATCTCCTCGTCCTAGCTGACGCCGCCGTCGGGGGA